TCTTAAATTAGAATGATGCTAAAGTCATAGCATAAAATAATGAAGTCTTTTTAAAATAAAATCTTCTAACTTTACTTATCTTTGTATGAATAGAAATGTTTCACAGTAAATGACAGCTAAGTGCATGATAAAGCAATTTCACTGATAATTACTGCAGGCTCAAGGACTGCACTTCTTTCTCTATTATATCTCTGAAATTCTATTCCAAAGGCCAATTCCTTACAGAGCAATGAAGATGTTAAAAGCTGTCACTAGAAACTAATGCTGCATTGTGTGTATGACAGTCAGTTTAAGAGACCCAGATAATCTACTACAAATAGGAATACAAATTTATCGACATTGGTATGGGTCACTAAATTACATGCATTCTATTTTTTCTTGAAAGGTTAAGAAAAAATGTAGTCCAAGTATGCTATAAACTCCAGCTCTTGACACGATCATCGCACAAAGGAGACACAAAGCTAATTTACTAAATGTACAATTGAGAAAAATGAAAGTAAAAGTCAAAAAGTTAAAGTAATAAAAGAAAAAAAAAACAGACTTCTGTTACAGCTGCATGATTTCGAATAAATTATTCCCCCAAAAGTCAGGTTCTAGTGGACAGGGTACTGGACTGGGATTCAGGAAACCTTGGTTCAATTCCCAGCTGTGTCACTAACCTGTGGTGTGACCTTGGGCAACTTTCTCTGTGCATTTGTTTCTCTTTACACTTTCTGTCGTACCTATTTAGATTGTAAAATCTACAGGGCAGAGATACCAAAATACCCTAGGGACTTTACAATAAAACAAATACAGATTAGCTGTTTATTTTAAATTAAATGTATAATAATAAAATAATTAAAATCCTTTTATTGGAATCCTTATCCTCCTTTCTCTGCCTGTAGACATTCCTCGACGTTCTGTCATTGCTCCTTTCCTCTTCTCCACCCGCACTTCCACTAAGGTTTCCACCTCCACTTTTATGTGGATTACTTGTAAATTTACTTCTCATTATCTGTCTCCTTACTCTTCTTGGTTGACCCACTGCTGTCTAAAAGTTGCTATCTCCAAAACTGAACTCGTCTTTCCTCTTAATCTGAATGCCGTAAAAGCTACAAAAGCCACATCTGAAGGTTCTAACTTCAGTTGTTTTCTCACCACCCGTTATGGGGAAAATAAGTGTTCACACTCACATCACCCAACTGATTTTGCTAAAGCTTTACCACCTCCCTCACAATTTTGTTTTATCAAATTAAAAGCTATTGAAAAAAAGGGGGATAGAAACAGAAGCTCCATTAATGCAGGAGTTACCAGCAGCTTCTGTACTTTTTACACAGTATCACATAATATACACATACAGGAAGAGATATTAAACTTTTTGGAAGGCGTCATGATGAAAGGAACTCTGTAAATGTAAGGTTACTGACTTATGGTGAAACTACATGGAGCTAAGTAAACATTCCAAACAAAGAAAACTGCTTTAGTGGTATAAAAACATTAGTTTAGTGGTATAGCAAGCAATATCAGCATCCCTCCCTATTGACTTAAAACTAAGATTGGCAATCCAAAATTTGATAACAATTTCTAATGTTACATATTAGTAGTCAGATACCGTCGCATAATATATTATATGATTCATGTTTGTTATTCTATCAAGCATACAGCATTTAAACTTACTCATGTTCAAAGTGGGAAATCCTATTTTTGTAACTTGATATCAAGGATACTCTAATTTTTGATGCAAAAGGACTCATTAATCATTTCTATGAGTGTATTTTTGGCTTCAAGGCAGAGGAGGGACTGGATGCAGCTTGAGGATTGAAGAACCAGCAAATGAAACTAGTGAATTCGTTTATAAGAATTGCAAATTGTCGAGCTCTTCATCTTAATTAAAGTTCAACTACTTCGTAAAAGCAAGGTGGCCTTTCCAGATTTGCTGAAGGTATTTCTATATGAAAAAAAGCTTTTACTATTCACTTGGAATTTCAGGATTGGATTCAAATGTAACTCCAGTTGATGCTCTAATAGGATATTAGTTTTCTGAAGTCATCCTTGACCTGCTCAATTTAAAATTTGAATTGCTTTATGAGTAGATTCTGTATGCTTCCCCAGTGACAAACATGAACAATTGAAACAAATGGATAATTCAGATTGCTTTATACACATCCCTCATAATTGCTGTTAATTGCTGTAACGTGCACCATTATGAGAACATTTTTATTTCATATTTTTAGATATCTTCGACCAGACATATTAAAGGAGAATATTTCGTTTTTGCAAATTTCTCCATCTTTATATAGGAAGAAAATAATTTGAGGGTTGCAAATATTTTTCATTCTTAGCCCACATTTTCAACAACTTGAAACCCAATCAGCAATGCATAAACCAAATATACAGAAATTACAAAACGATGCTGTGAGAGCTGGCCTATAAACCTCCTCGAAAGTGAGTTTCTATTGCTACACTTTGGCTGTTAGATGTACTCATTAAGAAAAATCAAATATTCCAAGACTGAAGATGTCTCCCTCCCTAGATGGGGCCAAAAGCAGGGGCCTTGATACTACTCTTTTGTGACAAGGAATCAGAGAAAAGACCTTAATTTGGTTTATCTAATCCATCCCCTTGCAATTAAAGACCTGTTCCCTGCAACAGCTTTTTTAGTACTGTGTTCAACCTAGTGTTCAGTGTTCTCCATGATATGGCTTCTGCTCTTTCCCCAAAAGACATTTCCACAATTCAATACATCTTCTTGTTAAAGATTTCCCTGATATTCAGTCTAATTTTTCATTGTCCTAATGTCATTTCATTGCCAATATTAGCCCATTACTCCTAGTTAGAGTCATTTATCTCCATCCTTCATCTTTACATCCCTGAAACACTTGTACGCTAATGTTTCCATTTTAGCCATTGCTAAGGCAAACTATATACATTTAGCATTTTTAATCTTGCCATATAAATTTATCCACTCTGCCCCTAATCATTTTTGTTGTTCTTCTCGGAACTCCCTCCAGTCTCCCAGGCTCGTCCTGGTTCTAAGGTGCTGTGAAATGAATGCAGAAGATGAAATTAAATGAAAAGGAATTAATCAGCCAATTTCTGAGATTTGGATTTTGTTTCCCCTTTCTAAAAATTGACACTACCAACATCTAAACTCTGCACTTCCTGACTTAATCTAGCATGCTGTGATGTTTGGTCAAATACAGAATCATGACCCTGGATTTTAGTTTAGTAAAAGAGGGTAACTTTCATTGTATTTTAAAATTAATTCCCCAGAGATATTTAAGATTTGAATAGAACTGTACTCAGCTCTCACTTACACCTGTATAACCCTAATGCAGTTAGTAGGCTACCATGAAAAAGGCCATATCAACCTGGGATACCCAGTTACAGTATGATCATACCCCAAGCTTAATCCAGCACCCCTTTCGTATGTTTAGATGACGCTAAATTGTTAAAGGAACGAAGGTATAGCCATGTTCTTTCCCCACGTACACAGGCAAAACCAGTCCATATTGTAACATGGTCGCTGCGCAATTGTCTTGCAAAGTGACTCCCCTAACATCAGAGGCTCGTTCA